CACACCTATAATCCCAGCACTTTGCAAGGCTGAGGCGGGTGGATCACTGGTGGTTAGGGGTTCGAGACCAGCCTCGCCAACATGGTGAAACCGCCTCTACTAAAAATACAAAAATTAGCCGGATGTGCAAGCACATGCCTGAACACAGGAAGTGGAGGTTGCAGTGAGCTGAGATCGCATCATTGCACTCTTGCCTGGGTAAAAGCAAGACTCTGTCTCAAAAATAAATAAATAAATAAATAAATAGCCAGGAAGGCATCCAGGAGAGGAAGGTCATGTTTACATATTTGAAATAAGAATTGTTTCAGGCTGGGCGCGGTGGTTCACGCCTGTAATCCCAGCACTTTGGGAGGCCAAGGCGGGTGGATCACAAAGTCAAGAGATCGAGACCATCCTGGTCAACAGGGTGAAACCCCATCTCTACTAAAAATACAAAACATTAGCTGGGCATGGTGGCGTGTGCCGGTAATCCCAGCTACTCAGGAGGTTGAGGCAGGAAAATTGCCTGAACCCAGGAGGCGGAGGTTGCGGTGAGCCGAGATCGCGCCATTGCACTCCAGCCTGGGTAACAAGAGCGAAACTCCGTCTAAAAAAAAAAAAGAATTGTTGGCTGGGCGCGGTGGCTCAAGCCTGTAATCCCAGCACTTTGGGAGGCCGAGGCGGGTGGATCACGAGGTCAAGACATCGAGACCATCCTGGTCAACATGGTGAAACCCCGTCTCTACTGAAAATACAAAAAATTAGCTGGGCATGGTGGCGCGTGCCTGTAATCCCAGCAACTCAGTAGGCTGAGGCAGGAGAATTGCCTGAACCCAGGAGACGGAGGTTGCGGTGAGCCGAGATCGCGCCATTGCACTCCAGCCTGGATAACAAGAGCGAAACTCCGTCTCAAAAAAAAAAAAAAAAAAAAAAGAATTGTTTCAAAGGACTTTTTTAAAACTTCACAAAAAAATATTTTCTTCAACCTTCATAAATGTCCTGTCACAAGGTTTAACAGCAGACATTCTTTTTTTGTTTTGTTTTTTTAGAGATAGGACCTCCTTCCATTGCCTAGGCTGGAATGCAGTCGTGCAATCGCAGCTCACTATAATCTCAAACTCCTGGGCTCAAGCAATCCTCCCACTTCAGCCTCCTAAGTGGCTAAGACTAAAGGCATGTACCACCACACCTGGCCAAATTGTTTTCATTTTTTTCTAGAGAAAAGGTCTTGCTATGTTGCCCAGGCTGGTCTTCAACTCCTAACCTCCAACAATCCTCCCGCCTCAGCTTCCCAAAGTGTTAGCAATATGGGTGTGAGCCACCAGGCCTGGCTTAGGCATTCTTTAGTAGTACAGTAATTCAGATAAGATGCTCTTGGGCTGGGCGCGGTGGCGCACGCCTGTAATCCCAGCACTTTGGGAGTCCGAGGAAGGTGGATCATGAGGTCAGGAGATTGAGACCATTCTGGCTAACACAGTGAAACTCAGTCTCTACAAGAAAAAAAAAAAAATACAGAAAATTAGCTGAGCACGGTGGCATGCACCTGTAGTCCCATCTACTCAGGAGGCTGAGGCAGGAGAATTGCTTAAATCCAGGAGGCGGAGGCTGCAGTAAGCCAAGATTGTGCCACTGCACTCCAGCCTGGGTGACAGAGTAAGACTCCATCTAAAAAAAAAAAAAGATTGAACACTTGCCCAGTAATGGCATCTCCACCAATAAACCGAGAATAACCCTGGCTTTGAACCTCTGGAACAAATGAACTCGGCTTCTGAGCAGCTTGTATCAGTCTCTCCCTTTTCACTAATAGAAGCTCTCTTATACCCTTCCCTCAGTGGCTGCACTCATGGCTTGCCATCCCATGCATTCCAGTTTATAATCCTTATTTCTTATTCCTGAGTAAACCGAACATATTTAGAGATTATGTTCTAGTGTCTTTTTTTAGGTTGACATCTGAAACAAGGCAGAACCCTCTGCCCACTGAATCTTAGTTATTACAGTGGAGTCATTTTATTGCCTAATAATAAGGAAAAATTGGGGTGGCAGCTGCTGTTGAATTAGGAAGTCAGTTCAGAGACAGCTGCCCAAGTGGTGCCCTGGCTGTTGCTAAACTCCTCCATACCAATGTTTTCATCACCAATCTGGCAGGTAGCTCGAGGATTTGTGTTGATGTTTGAAATCATGAAGACCAGAACCAGGATGACTCCTCCTTTCTCTTTTCATATCAGCCCTCAGTTCTCTCAAACCAGATGCCTAGAGTCTTTACAACCCGGGCTCCATAATACAGGGTCCCACAATACCCATCTCCCTTTAGCCCTCCTCCTTCAGCTCATTCTCTTCACATTCAGACCTCAACATCTGCTCACATCTTACACCTCACTCTAGTTTCCTTCTGCCTATCCCCACACCACATTTCAGACTGCTCCTCAGTCTCTGTCATCAGAGTTGAGTTAATTTCCCTTGCCTGGTTTCTTCTGTACTTCAAGACCACATTGCATCATAGTGCACATGGGGCTACTCTCCTGGCTAAGTAATAAGCTCCTGGAACACAGTTTAGTTTAGTAAATATTTACTGAGCATCTACTGTGGGCCAAGCATTACGCTAAGTCTGTTGAGGCAGATGCAGAGACGAATTAAACTGTGTCTGTTCCCAGCTTTCTCCCCAAATCTATAGTGTAATACTTCTTGAATGAATGGCTGAAGGAATGCCCTATTTATCCTATATGTCTTTCTTGATCCTCAAGATCTGAAGATCAAATTGAATTAGTAAACCCTGATTTAGTCAGGGAGCTGGCTTTCCATTTTTCTACATAGCAATTTGGAATCAGGGTTGGGATTAGCGAGGCAAGTGAGGCAAGGCCATGCAAGTGGGTCAGATCCTGTTACTATTGAAAAGCTGGCTTAGTTTCTTCTTGTTTAATGGAAAGCATATTTGCCACTCCTGCCTTCAGCTTATTTTCATGTGGGTCTGAAGATGGTGGTAATCTACATAACTGCTTCATTCTCTTGCCTCATGTGTTTCCCTGCACCCTCCCCACACATCAATCACCTTGCTCAGACTCTGTCTGAGCCAAGCAGAGCACTCTCCCAGGTACCTTGGGAACACTAAGAGGTTTAAAACTTGCACCTGCCAGTCATCTGGTACTATACCAAGGAGCCGAAGCACCAGTGTGGAGATCTGAAAGCAGGGGCTCTGGTTTTGAGTCCTGGTGCAGCAGGGCATGGTCTTTGGCAAGGCTCACCATCTCTGGGCCTGTTTCCTCACCTGCAAAAGACACAATAGTAACTCCTGCCTCCCAGGGTGGTTGTGAGGATTTGATGGAAGCTATTTTACACAAGCATTTTGTAAATTATAAAACCCCATGTCAATATCTATATTTAAAAAGATCATGGCCAGGAACGATGGTCCACGCCTGTAATCCCAGCACTTTAGGAGGCCAAGGCAGGTGGATCACGAGATCAGAAGATCAAGACTATCCTGGCCAACGTGGTAAAACCCCGTCTCTACTAAAAAATATAAAAATTACCTGGGCGTGGCGGTGCATGCCTGTAGTCGCAGCTACTCAGGAGGCTGAGGCACGGGAATTGCTTGAACTCAGGAGGCGGAGGCTGCAGGGAGCCGAGATCGCACCACTGCACTCCAGCCAGGGCGACAGAGCAAGACTCCATCTCAAAAAACAATTAATTAATTAAAAATAATAAATAGGCCTGGCGCGGTGGCTCACGCCTGTAATCCCAGCACTTTGGGAGGCCGAGGCGGGTGGATCACAAGGTCAGGAGTTCAAGAGCAGCCTGATCAACATGGTGAAACCTCGTCTCTAAAAATAATAAAAAGATAATGCAAAAGGAATACGCTAAGTGTGAATTAAGTGAAAAGAAGTGTTGTGATTTCAGTTGAGCTGATTAAAAAACAAACTCACTAAGAAGGTTTTAACTGGGTTGGGTAAACTGGGGGAACTGACTAGTAGCACTTTACCTACACATGGTCCTCTCTGCTCTCCTACCTCTACCTGGCGCCTGTACATCATGTAAGTCTCCTGTGTGCTCTCCTCCTAGGCCTAGGCTTTTCTAAGATGCTTTGTGCCTTCATGTCTCATTCTGGGGCTCTGTGTGTTTCTCCTTTGGGTCCTACATGATGGTTTTTGGTGGTTGCATGTTTTCTTTTCTTTTCTTTTTTTTTTTTTTTTTCCAAGACGGACTCTTGTTCTGTCGCCCAGGCTGGAGTGCAGTGGCATGATCGCGGCTCACTGCAACCTCTGCCTCCCAGGCTCAAGCGATTCTCCTGCCTCAGCCTCCCGAGTAGCTAGGATTACAGGCATGCGCCACGACGACCAGCTAATTTTTTTTTTTTTTTTTGAGACGGAGTTTCGCTCTTGTTACCCAGGCTGGAGTGCAATGGCGCGATCTCGGCTCACCGCAACCTCCGCCTCCTGGGTTCAGGCAATTCTCCTGCCTCAACCTCCTGAGTAGCTGGGATTACAGGCACGCGCCACCATGGCTAGCTAATGTTTTGTATTTTTAGTAGAGACGGGGTTTCACCATGTTGACCAGGATGGTCTCGATCTCTTGACCTCGTGATCCACCCGCCTTGGCCTCCCAAAGTGCTGGGATTACAGGCTTGAGCCGCCGGGACGGGCAAATTTTTGTTATTTTTAATAGAGATGGGGTTTCGCCACACTGGCCACGCTGATTTCGAACTTCCGACCTCAGGTGATCTGCCCCGCTCAGCCTCCCAAAGTGCTAGGATTACAGGCGTTAGCCACCGCTCTCGGTCGCGTGTTTTAATCGTAAATACTTGTCTTTTTTTTTTTTTTTTTTCCTATAGTCAGTTAAGACTCGGAAAAAAATCCTAGTGTTAGGTGGGACCAGCATTTACCAGTTGGTATGAGGCTCGAAGTGGTGGTGCATGGCGGGCTGTCTATGGTTCTTAGGATGGGAACTCTTGACCTTGGCGGGCCCACCCTCTGAGTTGGGTCAATGGGCAGGTTTTCGGAGGCCTAAGGACTGGGAGGGGGTGGAAGCAGGCGGGGCCGGGGCGGGGCCGCGGCCCGGGGTCTGCAGGTTCTGGGCTGGAGCGCTCCAGCCGCTGGTCCCCTGGAAACCCTGCGCCCCCAAATCGCGGTTCGCCGCGCGCTGCAGGTGAGTAGCGCGGTAGCGGGGATTCCCGCTAGTGGTGGTAGAGGCTGATGCTGGGTGTTGTCCCCGCTCCTCTGACTCTTCGGCAGGCCAGGGGAGCACCACGCCCCTAATTTTGGAGGGGCTTCCAACCTCTGCGGTCCTTCGGGGAAACCACGGCTAGTCTGGGGTGTAGCCAGGTGCCCTGTCCACTGTGGGCACGGTGGGGATTCCGGGCCGAGGAAGGACTCCTGGTACGTGTTGAAAAGTCGGCATCCCAGAGGGAAGATTCGGGGCAGATGGGCATCGGCGAAGGCGGTCCCAGCCAATGGGACCGTTTCTGAGCACGTAAGCCAATTCGAAGGGTACTAACGACTGACTGCTTTCTCAGGCAACTGTGAGCAAAACAGGCTTTGTTCCTGGCCGCGGGAAGCTTCAAGGCTGGGGTTCCGGAGCTGGGCGCGCAATGACAAACAGTAAGCGCGGAGGGCCGCGCCAGGAGCGCCCACCGGGGCCGCCATCTGGTGGGTGGCTTGAAAGGGTCCCTGAAGCCCTGAGCAGAGACCCAAGGGCCGCACGACTGCCGGAAGGCCATATTGCTTGGCTCACAGGCGGAAAACTCACGTGGCTGGAGTAGCAGGGCTGGTGACTACGAGGGCGGATCCCACTAAGGCTTGCAAGTGTTGCGGGTGGTGGGGGTGAGGGGGATTCTCATCATTCTCAGAATTGCTGTGGATAAACAGTTTTGAGCTGGAGAGAGATTGTGTGAACTCAAAGGACTAAAAGATGGCGACGACACATTCCCTCAGAGGATTTACATTCCGGAAGGGTGGGGATAGGCCCGGGTACAGATAAGCCCGCGGGTGACCTCCAGCTCTTACAGCCGAAAGTCTAATGAACTGTGCCCAGTCTCCTTCCACCTCCCCACGGCCCGAAGTCTGGGGCCTGGAGATGAAGGAAGTTCTTGGGAGGCAAATGTGCCTGGGCAAGCAACAGCTGCAGAGGTTCAGTCCCCCCAGGGGTTAGGATCCTCACCGAGAACCTCTTCCTACCGCCTCCAGCAAATGCCATCTTGAGGATTAGCGGCAGCAGTAGGTCTTCTCTGCCGGAGAACTGGAAGGTCAGGTTCTTGTGGGCACTGATACTAAGGGTGTTTTGAAGTGCATTTGGCTGAAAAGTGGAAGAATAATACAAGATCTGCACACCTCACAAAAGGAGTGTGAATGGTTTGGAAAGAAAGGAAAGGAAAGGGAGGGAGAAGAAAGAGAGAGGAATAAAGGAAGAAAATCAAATTCATATCCCAGGAATGCAGCTTTCATAATAACATTTTGGAGATCCAGTTAACTCTATTCCTCAAGGACGTTTTTCCTTGCTGGTATTTTCAGTTCTATTACGCTTCTCAAAAAGTGAAAGGAAAAAGCCAACAGGTTTTGGTGGGTTTTTTTGTTTTTTTTTTTTTTTTTTTTTTTTTAAAAACAGAGTCTCAGCCGGGCGCGGTGGCTCAAGCCTGTAATCCCAGCACTTTGGGAGGCCGAGGCGGGTGAATCACGAGGTCAAGAGATCCAGACCATCCTGGTCAACATGGTGAAACCCCGTCTCTACCAAAAATACAAAAAATTAGCTGGGCATGGTGGTGCGTGCCTGTAATCCCAGCTACTCAGGAGGCTGAGGCAGGAGAATTGCCTGAACCCAGGAGGCGGAGGTTGCGGTGAGCCGAGATCGCGCCATTGCACTCCAGCCTGGCTAACATGAGTG